CACAAATCCAACCCCAATATTGACCGTCAACATATGCCCGATAATGGATGAATTTGCCACAACAAATGTTTGTTGGGTAGGACAAGAGACTCATGTAGGGGCAAAGTGAAGAAAAAAAAACGACGGCAAAAACAACAACACCATACTGATTGAAAATGGTAAATAGAGAGAGAGCCTTGGCCGAAGTACTCTATTCACCAAATTATGGAGGAAAAAAACTTCGAATAACTTTATCAACCGTCCTGATTCTCAGAGCATGAAGCAAAATAAAATAATACGGCGAGAAAGAGTGCCCAGTGTTGTGATCAACGGGCATGCAAAGGAAATTTATATGCAACCCATCGTTTTCGTTATTCAACTAAAATTGCACTTGTATATTACGCTCCCGGTGTTTATGATTTGAATTTATTTGCTATGTATATCTCGTTCGCTTGCTTTTTGTATTGCAATTTGTTCACATCGTGATTGTCATTTTTTTGAGAATGTGTTCAATTCACTTTGTGGATGGTTATTTTTTTTATGCGCACATTCATATCGATTTCTATTTTAAATCGATGAATGTCGATGGCGATGCCATCGAACCGACACTCAATTCACTTAAGAGAGAAAAAAGAACATACAATCGAACACAAATGCAAACAATAAAAATGATATTATTAAAAAGAAACGTTCAAATATTGCATGGTGTCGCGACTAACAGAGCCATTTTAGAAATTGAATCAATACCATCGTGTCCCATTCCATGTGTTTTTTTTTTCTCTTCGTTTGTTTGTTGCTGACGCTGTTTTTCATTTTTTTTCGTTATTGTCGTTTTGTGTATTGTATCTACAATTTAATGAAAACCAATTTTATACAATACAAATAGAAAATTGCGCTACTTTTCATCGGTTTTGCTCTTTTTCTTGGTATTTTCCAAATGTCCATGCAATTTATTTTCTGCACATTTTATGTGCTGATGTTTTTTCCCCTCTCTTTCTTTCATTTTGAATTTAGTTTTTGTATTTCAATCGCCCTTACTGTGGATGCTTAGATGCATATAGTCAATCTATGGTTTCTAAAGAACAAATGATTTTGATTCGAAGCGACAATAATGTGCTTCTCTTATTCGTTCAATTGGAAGCGAAGCCATTTTGGAATTGATCCAAACAATTCAGTTGGCGTTCATTCTCTCACTCTTTCTCGTTGAAAGTGAAAAAGATTCAAAGCGGCAATTAAAAGCAAGAAGTGGTCAATTCACTGGCAGCAACAGTAAAAGCAAAAAAACAAAACAAAACGGAATAACACTAAAGGATTGGGCAACGTCATTTGACATGTATCCGACAATATTCAATTTTTCACATGGCTTTCGAAACAGCAGACAGCGTTTCAGTTTCAGTGTCGGTTTCATATGTATTTTTATCAAATTCGTTCAAATTGTGTGTGAGCGCGCAAGACAATCAATCGATTGTGTTGTCGGTTTCAAATTTTCATTGCATGCGTCGTCATCGTCGTCGTCGTCGTTTGTTTATTTATTTACAGTGATGTTATCTTTCGTTTGCAAAGATTGTTTGGCCGCATATTTTCTTCCCGACAAACCATTCCCATTCCGATGATGTTTATAGTATTTGTTGATTCGTATGCAGATTATAACGTCAAACAGATTGCTTGTGTCTGTGTCTCATTCGCTTCGTTCGAACGTTCGAAGGAGACAAAAAAATAAAATACAATTTTTACCCGATATACGTACGAAAACTGTATAACAATTCATCCATCAATTATCGGTGGATCGTTAATTATCTGTATGAAATGCGGACCAAGAATAAATCGTATCGCAGGCAAATTTTGTGTCGACAGCACACCGTGAATGTGAGTTTTTTGTTCCTTCATTTTAATCGAAAAATAATGGACGTCATTTTTTGTCTTTCTCCCTCTCTCGCGCACACGTCCATTTATTAGCATCTATCGATTTCTAGTTTATATATATTTTTGTTTTTATCTCGACCACTTTATCGGCATGGTTGCCGTTGTCGTTGCTGTTCAGTATCTCTTTCGCGTCCACTTTAGAATGTCAGCCATATTTGAAACCATAAAATTACATTAAATTTATTTGCTTTCTTTGTTGCCACACATCCTCTCTCGGTCGTCAAAAGAGAAATCGATTTCAGTGAGATCGCGATAGCATCGCTTTGGTGCCCGTCATTGCATCACACAGCAATGCAAATATCGTATTAAATCAAAAAAAAAACCGAACAAGAATGAAAAACGGAAAATCACACATACACACATGACAACCGTGTTAATGATGAATTTCATGCTCTTAGCCATATTTCAAATGCCAAATAATTTATATTAAAAATCTAATATGGTATTGGCGAGACCGATTAGGCAGAGGACGAGAGAGGGAGAGGAAATGACGGTTAGAATGTCTATCCCGAAATTATATATTAAATAAAATTACAATGAAACATTATAACCTTTGTTATAGTTGTGGTCGACGTTTGGTGCTCTCGCGCCAATGCTGTAGAACGGGGACCGATGGTGTGAAGTGTAACGAAAATGTGATGCGGTTGTTACAGTGATTTGTGAATGACACATTCTCGGGCACAAAGTACGAGCACAGGGGAGATACACAACGACATAGAGGAGAAACGAACAAGTGAACAAGAGCGAGATACAAGCGATCCTCAATGCACATCATGCAAAATCCATGACGATTTTATTAAATTTACAACACGCACTCCAAATGCACTCACTATTTTATGCCACAATACTAACCACAATTTCGTTTTGTATGTTTCATGTTCCGCCAAGTGCCACATATGTGTGGTGTGGTACATACGCGAAATGCAATGTTGAATTTCGAAATTGTATGGAAAAAGTGTAAAAGAGAGATGAAAATTAATTTAGAATCCAAAATGTGGCATGTTATATATGATTTTCGGGTCATTTGAATTTGCAACAGAGACCGAGAGCCCGCAATAAAAATGGATTAGCATTTAAAGTAAAAGATGACATATCAAAACACATGCATGGAAATGGCATTCTTTTTCAGACAATATATTGAATTAACTGGTCAGTTGAGCTGACAGTACGTTAGCCAGCTAAATGGGCGAAAACAATAGACGTTATTGTTTTAATGATGAATCACTTTTCTTGTTTTAATAGAAGTGATTGTTCATTATAACAATAACTTCTTTTGTTTTAGTTCATTTAGCTAGCTAACGTACTTTCAGCTCAACTGACCAGTTAGTTCAATATATTGTCTGTTCTTTTTCGGGCACCGCAAGTGGTTGAAGGTGCACACAACGACCACTGAAAAACTAATATAATATGAGCTCAAACAACCAATTGCAGTGCATTCCATTTTATTTGCCGACGATTTTTTTTTGTTCTGGGGAAATAAATTTGTTGACAACAAGCATGCACACAACAGACTGTGTCGCTTTGGTTGTATTTAGAGAGTCGCTCAATCTGTGCACGCTTATGAAGCGGAAGAATTTTCGATTTCAATTTTAGACATGACTTGAGGAGTTTACGTCGGTTGTTGTTGTTTTGTTGCTCAAACAAATAGGAGTGTGCACGCGGCCAGAGTTGCATTACTACTCCACTCCATTATGTGATTGAACTGGATTTTATTTAATTTTACTTAATTTTTTATCTCTATGTCATGATTGTCGATCCCTAAGTATCGAGACTTGAAAAACAGGCGCACTCTTTTTTCGGCTATTATCATCGGTTTTGCATGCATTTATGCCTGCATTCACATCGAAAAAATATGTGTATGCGTATCGAATTACCGAGGAGAATTCAGAAACAGGTTTCCTCTCTATGCCTTTCTATTTATTCCGATTCAAAATTTTCGTTTTGTTTACTTCGAATTCGATATATGTGAGAGATTCATCAACTGATATCGTGTAGGAATCGGTGTTTTGTTGCACTGCACGAAAAGAAAAAATCTAGCCTTTGGATTTGGAAATAGATATTTTATTTTTCGTTGGAATACATACACATGTCAAACAGTACGTGTTTCTGTGGAATTCTTTTATAGTTTGAACAATTTATTTTATTAAATTTGCCTCGAACATGGAAAAAGGAAAAGAGTTGAAAATGGCAACCGAAACAAAAAAATACTTGACGATGGATGAATTGATGATGGGTTATGGACTTTTTCTATCTCATTGTCACACTGGATATACCACTTCTAGTTGACGCAGTGCAGAGAAGCAAATGCAGATCCTCGATAGCACACACACACACACATATCAACTCGGCTCACTCTCGACAAATAGTGCATTTGTTTCTGGCGAAAAAGTGACAACGTAATGTGTGTTATGACGAATTTCCATTAAATTTTTTGTTGTTGTTGTTGGTTTTATTGCCGACTGCAAAACCACTTTTATAATAATTTTCGCAAACGGCAAAATTATGCGGTGCATGTGTGCTTAGAAGAAGTGTACGGCACAATTTATGTGCGGCAAAATCCGTCATTTTTCTCGAGAGGTAGAGAGAAATTTAATTCGCAACAATTTAATATATATCGTGTACAATTCAGTGTTTTCCTATCTCTCTTCGTCTCCTCGCTGAAATCACTCTCGAAAACAATTTAACGGTTTTCAAAAACGTTCATCGTTGTATCCTTGTATGCGAATCGAATTCAAGCTCTGTTAAGCATGAGCGAGATGACATTTAAATAACAAAATTAAATCACATTGAATCACTTGACATGACAGCACTTTGCTTTCCGATCTCAAGCCATAAATGAATGAGCCAGTGAAAAGAGGAGCCAACAGTACCGTCATGCATTCACAATTTTCCACTCTAGTCAAAAACTATTGTGGGAATTTCGAAAACAACGCTGCAATGTAAACTAATCAATTTTTCGTTTCCTGTTCTAATTTCCAGGTTCGTTCAATCTGAAATCTCTCGCCATTGCGTTCTCACTGTTGCGCTCGCAATACAAAACGCAAAAAGGAAAGAAATCATAGACTATCTATAATAGAAATTGGTAGTATGGTACTTACAGTCGTTCAGCGTCCAATGGTATGCGTCTGGGTACTTGTTGTAAATCTCGATGTGAACAGTCAACCGTTTGGCCGGTGCACGTACAAACTCGTGGACATTTTTGATCGATGCTACTTTGGCCATTGCCGATGCCATTGCCCGTGCCGCCAATTGCTGTGTTTGCCAAATTTGTACCATGCACAAAAATGCCAACACTGCCAACGTTACTAAACGTTCCAAATGATGAATCACCATTTCCGTACGGTATCAATTGCAACAGTAAAATGACTAAACTGGTGGTCGTTGCATTCACCACCCAATTAAGCGGTGGTTTTTTCATATTCGACATTATTTCTCACATATGACTTTTCGGACCTTCAAATTGTCATTTGTGGTGATCTTGTTTTTGTTGTTATCGCTGTATGCTTGCTGTGTTACAACTGTTGTTGGGTGTTTTTCGTGCGAAATGCGAACTAAAATTTCGCTTCGTATCCCAAATGTGCACAGAGACACTCTTCCTCTTCAATTGAGCTGCTTGTTTTCGTTGTTTTTTCAAATGTCAGAGTTCATTTAATGGATTTTCTCAAGCTATTTTGATACAGTTAGAATTTGTAGCGAGCACAAATTATAATGGTTTAGACCACTTGATTCTGGTTGATTGTTCTCTTTTTTTTCGCTTTTGCAATGTCTTTCTCTCTTTTCACTCTAGAGCCTCAAATAATAACACTTGATTACACGAGAGAAGCAAAAAAACGTATATAATAAAAGAAAAAGAGTGCTATTTGTACAGACACAATTACTTGCCGAGTAAATGCATTAAAATTGTTTGAAAATGCACTCGAAAACACACGGACTGGCTTTTAGTGTGTTTTTGTTCTTCGATTCACTTGAGTAATTTGTTTTTTTTTTAACGTTGAATTCTTGGTATACTTTTTTTTATTTCATTCGCTTGTTGTTTAACGAAGACTAAATTTGTGGACACTGGTTGTCGTTGTGGTCCTTTAAAAAAAAATCAATGCGCGGGAAATAAGCACACAATGTTTGAAGAAGAATAAGAATGAAAAAAAAAACCGAATTTAATGAAAAAAGTTTACGTTGCTCTTTTGTCGTTGGAGACGCATAGAGATTTATTCGATTACAGTCGGATTGTTTTAATGTCGATACACAGAGTGAATACCGTTTGCGTAATCAGCTGGAAAAGTAAATGGCATAAGAATAAAAACTATTCAAATATAAAATTGCAACAGCACCCCGTTTGTTCGGCTGTGCACACACAACAATATTTTATATTCTCACACTTTTAACACCGGGAACGAGTCAAACGATGCAAAAATTCTTTGTTGTTTCTCAATTGCGACGACAATCGATTAATTTTTTTTCGCATTCAATCGAATAGTCATTACCGCACACTTTTATACACACTCTTTTCGTTTTGTTGCTTTTCTTGTTTGATTTCAAGTATACTTTGGCGAAGCCTTTTTTATTGTATATGTGTGCGTGTCTCGATTTTATTCAATGATAATCTTTAATGGTTTTTTTTTTGTTGAAAAAAGGAGAATTCTCGCATTTATTGTTTATTGCCTTACACTTGAAATGGCAAAAAGGTAATAATTGCACATTTGGTCCGAAACTTACTCACACTCAATGTTGTTGATTTTTGAATTGCTTTTGCTTATGACACTCAGAGGCTTGCAAATGGTTCTGAAGATGTCGATAGGCTGTCGGTGTTTTTTTTTCTCTCACTGTGTGTGTGTTTGTTATTGTTGTTTCGACGAGTGTTGTTATTCCTTCTTCTGCTTCTTTCTTTTTTTGGGTTAAAGGCGATTTGTTTGACGCGCAAATGAAAGTTGATAGGTTGCAGTGGAAAAAGTAATAATAACAACAACTGCAAATGGTTAGGCGTGCGCGTATCGTTTTGCTACTATATTGTGGTTGATTATGTTCTTCGATTTTATTGCTTTAAATCCGACTATAAGTATTTACACGCTGTTACGTTTAATTCGAGTTGTTTTTTTTATTTTCAAAGTTATTTTCGTTGTTCTTTTTTGTAACAACAATATATTCTCCTTGTGCTTGATGCGGTTTTTTGTTCACTTAATGTTGTTCTGCTTGAGTTCGGTTTTTTTTTCACTCGCTCTTTACTTCAGTCCTGTTCACGAGGAAATGCATGTGAGAGAAGACGAGAGTGGAGAGGAATAAAAAGAGCATTCACAATGACCAGCACGTTTAATGAACACACGAAGGATGAACAATCAAAAACACTAAAAAACGATAAAACGAAAACGAACAAAAAATTGCATCGACAATTACACACGATTGTTCTGTTGATTTTCTGCACTTTGTTTTGATTCAACCGTACACACGCATTTGATTCGTTTCTTTCAATTCACGTTGTCTGCTTTCCGTTGAATGTTAGTTGAGTGCGCTGTGCAAAACTTGTTGATCATCTCTGCAATGGCGGGGAGAAAAAAAAGAAAGAAACAAATTAGTTAATTGCATTTGAAAACAAAACAAAATAAAAGGAACCGAGAAAATAATATATATAATTGTTGAGATTTGGTCATGAGATTCTCATCGATTGTTCTGTTTCAAACGACCAATATCGAAGAATCCATTTTTAAATGGATGAAACAAAAAAAAAGAAACACCGTGCACAATTCCATGTTTACAATCGTTGAACTTTTATTATAGCATAGTGTGTGTATGTTCATTTGAGTGTGCAAACAACAAATCCATAAGAATAATTAGTGTGGCATTGATAAATTCAACATAATCCATTTTTTCCTCTCTTTTGAACCGAAGCGGTTACGAGCGCTAAAGTGCTATGACTAATGGAAATGTATTTGAAAAAAAAAACCTTCCGCCCGATAAAACCGTTCGTCGACTTCTCAACGACAGAATCGAAATAAAAAAAAACTCCATTTGCCATAGATTAAGTTTAATCGTTAGCCACGAGTTTTTGCCTTTGTTTTGCATATATCCCATTTTCACCTGTATGTGCACGCACAGCCAAGATTTGCCAGAGCGAAATCCTTTGCCATCACCACCGCCGCCTTTCCAAATTGAGCACAGTTGGTCGGTGTATGGTTGTGACGAATTTAATTGATTTTCACGCAATATCAGTGGTTTGCTATTTTCCTTTTTTATATATATTGTTTTTAATCAACAATGATTAGATTTTATTTGTTGTGTGTTCGTGTATACATGTGAAAAGGTCGAGTGAAGAACTATGAATGAATGCCAACCACTTAATGCACTGGAACTATATATCGCATTCATATCGTTGTTCACTTTTATTATCCATTTAAATTAAAAGAAATTCGTTGTGGCATTGTATAATAAAAATGTGTGCTCTGTTTTTTTTCTTCGTTTTTTCTCTTTCCCTCTCATTCCTACGCTGCTCGCTGTGTATAAACCAACAGTGCTATTATCGAGCTGAAAACTTGAAATAATTCCAAACGATAATAACAATAATAACGGTAACAATGAAATACGACGGCTCAAAATAATAACAAACAAAATGAATGAAGAAAAAAAACTGAAGCATACACGAAATCCTCCCGATTAGATTCGATTCGATGGCTTAGGTGTTGCGCATGAGTGTTTGTATGTTTTTTTTAGAAAAGATTTGCTCTTTACAGAGTAGGATTTTTGATGCGCGTCTGCGTTTCTTTTTCATTTCAATTCAGTACGTTTCAATGTTCCTTCGTTTTGTTCAATTCTAAGACTTCTCATTCGAACGTTGTGTGTGTATGTGTGTGAATGTTTAAATTCAATGGTGAATTGATGGCTTCACCTCGCAGCTATATACACTGTTATTACGGCAAAGAGCCGTCCATTACATGAAAAGGCCAAAACGGAAAGAAAAAAGTCCACATGAATTATGAATAAATATTAGAAACATAATGATAAGTTCCTGCAAACACTCACATCTCAAACATTCCAGTTTTTTTTTTCATTCATTCTGTTGTATTTCATATGAATACATTTATCCTCCCTCTTTTTTATTCGTTCAAACAAAAAACGAAGAAGATACACGCATTTTCGATGCTTCAAGGCAAAACCGCTCTTTATAATTTTATGTATTGAGCTCTTCATATCGAAATTGTGATGGCATTAATTCCCATCATCGATTTTCTTCGTTTGAACATTGTATCTTCATTAAAACATCGTAACGAATCGTGAAGGATAAAATATATATTAAATATTTAATTGAAAAGAAAAAAAATACCAAGTGAAAAGGAAAATGAATATAATTTTTTGTTTCTTTCTCTGTCCTTTGTCATCATCGATTTTCGCCCACAAGGGTTTCACTCGGGTTGCACAGACACGAAAAACTTTACACTTGAAAAATAATTAAGTTTCGGTCATTTTTGTGTACACACGGTACTGCTTTTGTTGTCAAATCCGGAAACGCTTTAAAATGTTTTAATTGGATGTGAGTGAGATCAAGAATGGAATATATTCAACAAATTATTTTCCAAATAAAATTCCAGTAACGACTTTAACTCTTATGAAATTCTCTTCGTTATTTAACAATATAGAATTTTGTAAATCACTATGTATAAAAAAATATTTCTTGAACTTATCCACGTACACATAAACACTTTGCACAAAACATAAAACACAAATTCATTTGAATGGACATGTTTATAAACAATTCAAAACTTTATCGTAAAGAATTTGTGCGTAGATGAGGATAGAAAGAATGCACCCGCCACGATGAGTGCATCAATGACAAGAATAGTAAGCGTATAAGAAAAATCAAGAGTTCTATATTCACTCAGTTCTGTATGTGTTCAAGTCGATTTGGTGCAAATGATGGATAGGGTTTTCGAAGTTATTGAATATTTTATCGTATTCTGATTCAATGTATTTCAATCTTAAAAATCTGAATTCCCTGATGAGACGGCGAGAGAGCTCTCTTGCAATATCATGATTTTGGTAAAAATTGAATGACAATGCACAAGATTCAAGTTGAAGTAAAAAAGAAAATACAATGTTTTTTTTCCCTTGGAATTGTTTGACTCTCATAAATAATGTTATGGAAAATGCAGCCATAGTAAAAATGAGCACGTTCAGCTTTTATCGCACTATGTGCGTTTTGTTTTGTCTTGTTTTGTGACGATTTGTCGTTTGTTGGAAGTTCTTAGAGCGTTTGAAAAATAGCATTGTGTCAAATTTGATGAAGGGAAGTACTTGTCGCTCTTTTTCGGTTCTTTCGATTATATTCATCAATTTTTTACCGTACATCGAAAGAGAGCACAAGCGAGAGAGAGAGAGGAGATAGATAGATTTCTATTCAAATGTATTTTTATTTGCTATAGTGATATGCGCGCATGAACGAGAGAGTGTGGCACATTGATAAAACGTTTTTGTGACGTTCAAACCGAAAATTTTCGACCATTGTCGATAAAAGTACACGTTGCAGGCAGGAAAACTACCCGAGAGAAGCGACTAAAAAAGCGAGTGAAGAATAGAAAAAAAAAGCTGGCCAAATGAGAAAATAGAGAGGTTTATTCAGTGTGATCCATGATGGTATGAAAGTTTTCCCCCTCGCGTTCAACCTCGTCTGTCTCAAATTTTCTCGCAAACGTATATGTATTTGATACCCTCTGAATATTCACATTTCAGTGCAGCGAACGAGAAATATAAGCAAATCAAAATGTCGTAAATGCGACGCTTGAAATTTTCAGCCCCGTAAATATAAATCTCGTTTTTATTTTCTGGCTGCTTTTCGTCCATGCAAAAGCTGACACACAAAGAAAAAGAAGAAGACGGAAAAAGATCCGCGGCATATCGCATTCACCGGAATGGTCTCGTTTGCACTCATGCAAAAGCAATGAATATACAAAAGTGAATAAATACATGAAAATCATTTTTTTTTGTCGTTTTGTATAAAATACCTGCCGCCACCACCTCTGCCAACAACGATGGCAATGAGGACGTTGCCGCCGGTACATTTCAGTGTGTTGGAGATGCTGTGTACATTGTAAGGTAAAAAAAAGGGCAGGATAAAGCGAAATGAAATAAATTTTCCTTTTATTTTCTATATTTTGGAAATTTGCCATTGTTGTGCGTGTGTTTTTTTTATCTCACTTCCTCACACTTTCAATTTCACTTTTTCGTCGTGCTCATGGTTTTGTTTGTTCAGGTAGCACGATTGTTCTAGCCGATGAATGAGCAAATCATTTTCCAAAAAATGATTTTATTTTCGCCACTACAGCAAACTACTACTACTTACAAACATTTTTGTGTCTTGCTTTTTCTTCATTTTGGCTCATGGTCACAGGAATTTAACCACATATTGTATGAATGATACAAATGCAGACAATGCCAATGTACTGAAATAAGCGTTTCTTCCTTTTCGGTTCTCCTCATTCCATCTCGATGAGAACGAGAAAAAAAAAATCATCGCTCGATGGAATGAGAGATGTTCTATGTGTATATGTTACTGATGCCGCAATACAGTAGAAGAAACTAATGGCCGTAGGCAAATTTGCTTCTTCATTTTTATTAGTCGCTCTGATTTTCCTGTTTCGGCTTTTTATTCGCATTTAGACCCTTGTGTGCATTTTCTTTTGTTTAGATCATTGACGAAAATGTCGTTTGGATGTTTTTCTTTCATTTTTCCTTCCCCCTCTCTCTCACACACTCACTCACAATAAAATCCCTTTTCTTCATCTTATTCTTAATAGCCCACAGGCATCATAATCATCGTACTACTCTATTTAACCGTGTGTTTACCAACCGATTTTCTTTTCCCATTTTTGCAGTAATTTTGCTTTAGATTACAAATTTTTTTTTGTTTCTTGATCGTCGTCGTGCATTTTCGTCGGGAATGCTTTTTCCCAGAAAAGAGACATTCCGTCGTGTTTTTGTTATTGTCATTCATCGTTCAAATTGGTGCCAAGCAATTGCAGTGAGAATTTTGTTTAATCTTTTTTCCTCATAACAGCAAATACACTGCTGTTTCAAACCCTGAGCAAAAAGCGTTGTTGTTTTTATTCCCTACACTTACCGAGCATAATTTTTGGAAATGGCAGACATAAGACACGAACGAGATTCTCTTTTTTTTCTGCACAATTTGCACGCGTACGTACAGAGAGAAAGGAAGTATCCATGAAATTCAGTAGCGCTAAAGTTGATTATGACGAATTAAAAGGAGCTGATAAATATCAAAAACGTTTCACAAAACAAGAGAGATAGAGAAAAGAAGTGCCACCAATTTTCTCTTTTATAAATTCAATCATTTCGTTTTTCTTTCCACCGATGAAGAACTGATTCGCAAGATAGAGAACGCGGCACACACAGAGATAAGAGAAAAAGCTTTCTTTGAAGTGTGATCCGTGTACGTGGTATAATTCATTCATTTCATTGATGAAAAATGAATGTAAAAGGGATAAAGCCCATATCGTTTAGCGTATCTTATTGTTCTGCAATGAATTT